GTATGTATTAATCAATAGAATAATTATTTGTTTTTCGGTTATATCGTTCTTCAGTTATTATCTTTCTTGTTTTTTCGAGCTACTATCGTTATTGTTGGTAGTTTTATCAGCATTTAGATATCTTCAAAAATAAACATTTCAAAAAAGTCAATTTTCTCTATGCAAGGAGAGAGCGAAAGAAGGAGGAGAAGGAGAGGGCAAAGCAAGAAGGAGGAACGAGATTGGTGATAACTTGTGGATAAGTTTGTGCTCTTTTTGGATGTTTCCATATGATTGCAAAAACTTAACTGAAATTTGTAGTTGATCTTAGCGAAAAAGTGAAAAGTTTATAGATGTTAGCTGTTAGTTGATGACAACTATAACGAAGATGATGACGATGATGATCATGAGGAATGGAGATGTGATGACTGGTGATCATCATCTTTTTTAGCCGATTTTTCTCAGCCTATGTAAACTTAACAAAACCAAACTTTTATTTATACCTATTCAATAACTGCTTTGTTAAAGTTTTTGCTAAAAAAAAAACTAGACAAATAAAATTAAGTTTTTTATTTGTTGATAGTCAACCAAGAAACTAATGGTGCAGCTAACAAGCTCAGATTTAATATTTCAAATTTATTTGTCCTCTATCTTTTTTAGATAAAATTGAACAAGTTTTTAGGAGAAAAAAAGACTACCTTTTCTAGATTTATTTAGCTTAGAACTTTGATCTGCTAGTTAGCATAAAGATTGCTTCTTTTATGATTTTTAAACTGATATCATATCAGTTTTGGTTATCAATCTAATAACATTTTGAATAGAAAAATTCATTTTACTGCTTATTTCCTTTTTAATTTGTTTCACAGTTCTAATTCTACAGAATACAGAATTCTATTTTGTTATCTGACTAATGATTAATGATATGTATAAAGAGTTTGGCGGATATCTTTATCCACCAAAATCATTTGCCTTATTCAACCGCTATTTTGACCATATAAATATTGGCTGCTGAAGTGATCGATAAACAACGACTAAAATTGATGCTAATTTATCAGAATTTTTGACCATATTCCTACTATTCATTGTAAATTTATTTTAGTATTCTCGATTAATACTGTGATATTATTAACTGTAATAATCGTTTGTTATTTAACAGTGCAGAAATTTTAACATTTCAAACCTTTTTGTTTTTTTGTTTTTTTTTTTTTTTTTTTGCAGATTTATTACCAAATTTTTTGATGATTTAACAAAGAAATTTATACATTTCTATTAAACTTTACATTATTTACTAAGCACTTTTCTCTTGCTTTGCTAAGTTCTATTAATTGTGTAGATCAAAATTTTTGCCGTGTTTTATTGCTACTGCTACTAATGCAAAAACAGCAACAACATGAACAAAGAAAAAAAAAACCTGCAACTTTAAACAATGACTATGAAATCTGAAGCTACCTGTTTCTTTTTTTTTTTGGCTTTACATTGTCGAACAGTCGAAAACCCTATTATTTGTGTAATTTGAGTGTCTATGTTTTGTTTGTTAAGGAAAAAAAATTGAAAAACAAAGAAAAATTGGCTGACAAAAAAAAAAAAAAA